TGCCCAGCGTGGGGCCTGGCCTGGCCAAAATCATTGATGAATGAATGCAAGGTGGTCTGCTCTGTCAGGGGCTGGGGTCAGACTGGGTGCTTTCTCAGTGTCCCCTCCAGAGCATCCGGTGGCCCATTTTTAGGTCTCAAGGTCACTGCCAAGAAAGAGAAGCTGCTAAAGTGACACCTCTGTGCACCCACATGACTCAACACAAAAGATAACAGGAGCGCTGCAAAAACAAACCTCTCAAGTGTCCGTCCCCTGCTCCCCTGAGGACAGTGTCAGCGGCATCAGATTGAGGCCGGTGACCTGCTGGTCCTTGGGCATCAGGGTGGCCCAGAGGTCATCTGGAGCTCTCTGCTCAGCAGATAGGGTGGAAGGAATAAATGGAGGTGCAGATAAACACCGCATGTGGCTGCTGCAGGGGCACCCGACAGGGAAATTGTAAAATGGGCACCATGCAGAGATGGGCGAAGTCAGATGAGAGGGAGAGAGCCCCGAGCCTAGGCTGAGGTCTTACCTAGGGAAAGCAGGTGACTCTCAGCAGGCGCTAGTGAACCAGGTTGCCTGGAACAGTGGTTGGCAAACTGCGGCTCGGCAAACCGCGGCTCGAGAGCCACATGCGGCTCTTTGGCCCCTTGAGTGTGGCTCTTCCACAAAATACCACGTGCGGGCGTGCACATACAGTGCGATTGAAACTTCGTGGCCCATGCGCAAAAGTCGGTATTTTGTGGAAGAGCTGGTATTTTGTGGAAGAGCCACACTCAAGGGGCCAAAGAGCCGCACGTGGCTCGCGAGCCGCGGTTTGCCGACCACGGGCCTAGAGCAGCAGTCGCCAACCTTTCGGACCTCACGGACCACCAGTGGTCTTCGGACCACCGATTGGCGACCTCTGGCCTAGAGGAAGGATGTGTGTGGTGAAGACTCAGCTCTTTCATGCTGGGTCCAGTGGAAAGCAGGCGTTCAGACTCACCGGCCAAACTCCCAGTTGTCCAGGCATAGGTGTGGTGAAAGGCAAGGTGGGGTCGTGGTTAGGAGTTTGAAAATCCCAGTGGGTGACTTTTCATTGTTTATAGAATGGCAATAATTATCTCCTCCTGGAATACTTGAGAGGATTCAATGAAAACATTTATGCAAAATCTCAAAATGCTCTCAGTGGTGGAGATGCTGATAACCTGCCTCCCAGGTGGCCATGCAGCAGGCTCTAGCCGGGCAGACATTAATAATCTAGTCTGGGTGAGAGTTTAATGCAGGGCCGGCATGTCTGGCCCACTGCCTATGTTTATAAATAAAGTTTTATTGGAACACAGCCATGCTCATTTGTTTGGGTATCATGTCACAATGGCAGAGTTGAGCAGCGATGACAGAGACTCTCTGATCCTCAAAGCGAAATGGCCCTTTACAGGAAAAGGGCTTTTACTGCCTGGCCCTTTACAGGAAAAGTTGCTGACCTGTCCTCATGGAGTAGTAGATAACCAGCTGGGTCCTGGACTTCACTGAAGAAAGAGAGATAGTGGAGCAGTTAAGGGTACGAAGTCTGGCTTCTGACGCTTTTGGTCTTGGGCCGGTTACTTCCTACTCATCGTTTTCATAGGTAAAACCATAGTGAGTGCGACCCAAGTCTGGACTGTGCTTAGCACAGTGTCTGATGGCTTGCCTAGGGCACTGTAAAAGGTTTGCTATTGCCCGACTGGTGTGGCTCAGTGGTTGAGCGTTGACCTATGAACCAGAAGATCACGGTTTGATTCCCAGTCAGGGCACATGCCTGGTTGTGGGCTCCATCCCCAGTGTGGGGCATGCAGGAGGCAGCTGATCAATGATTCTCTTTCATCATTGATGTTTCTAGCTCTCTCTCCCTTCCTCTCTGAAATCAATCTATAATAATAAAAGCGTAATATGCTAATTAGACTGGACAGCCGAATGACCTTCCGGATGTCATTCCAGACGTCCTTCTGGATGAAGCCGAGGCGGCGGGGGGCTGAGGCAGAGGCGGTTAGGGGTGATCAGGTAGGCAGGTGAGTGGTTAGGGACGATGAGGCAGGCAGGTGAGCAGTTAGGAGCCAGTGGTCCCAGATTTCGAGAGGGATGTTCCTGCAGGATTGGGCCTAAACTGGCAGTCGGACATCCCCCAAGGGGTCCCGGATTGCGCGAGGGTGCAGGTGGGCTGAGGGACGAATTTCATGCACCGGGCCTCTAGTAAAAATATATTTAAAAAGAAAAAAAGGTTTGCTATTATTAGCTACTGAATGTCAACTCTTGAAAGGCAAAGAGAAACTTGCGGAAAAGGGTCACTGCTGCATGCAGCTCTCGCTACAGAATACCCAGCAGTGGTCCCATAGAAAGCTGAAAAGCAGGATGTGACCGCCAAAGGCGGGCTCTCCCATGCAACATACCCAGGAAATGAATGATCCCCTCTTCAGGAGAGCAGCAGATCAGAACAGGAAAAGAAAGGGGAGCGAAGGTCAAGGCCCCGAGGTCTGGCACAGTACCCATGAGTACCTGGTGCATAGTAGGTACCCAGTATTTGTTGCCTGAATGAATGAAGGCTGGTGGTTTAACCACCAAAGTGATTTATCAGTCCAAGAGCACCTCTGGCTTCTGCGATGGTAAGACCACAATTAGTCAGAAGATAAAGCGTTCTGCCTCCAATATCTTAGGGTCTTAGGATGAAAGCAACAGGCTGAAGCCGAGGGGACACTCAAGGCAAGGAGGCTGCTGAGACTTCCCACTGCGGGACCGGACCTGGTGGTGGATTCCCGGGGAACAGGTAGGCCAAGGAAAAAAAAGCTTAAAAACAAAAGCAGGCACATAAGGTCATGAATTGGCCCAAAATAACTTGGGACACTGAGCAGACGGATGCAAGCGGCACATCTTGATGGAAAGGAGGCCAAGCTGATAAGCCGAAATAGTTTCCCCTCCCCGGTGACCTGACTCCTGCTTCGGAGGCCTCGGCACGGAACAGAGGAACCCATCAGCCTGGGCAGGTTTGGGTTTCCTCTCATCGTTAGGGCGTTGCTTTCATTCCTAAGACCCCCCACAACTTGGAAACCACGCCACTTACCAGGAGCGCACTTTGGAATGCGATCTGGAAGCTGTTTTTTTTTTTCTGCAGACGCTTCAGGACTGGTTTCCACAGCAGCAGGCTTCCGCGGCTCTGCCAAGTCTCTAGAGAAGGGCACCTTATCTGCAAAGTCACGAATCCAGGAATCCAAATGGGGTGCCATTGGCGAGGGTGGAAGTTGTTTGTCTTAGCTTCCTGGGGGATCAGGAGATTGGAAGGGTTTAGGGGCTGCGGGTCCCTTGCTGGACCGAGATACAACCCCAGGGGAAAGGTTTCTGGTAGCTTCCCAGAGCGGGCTGTGGAGCAGAGTGTCTCAGTAAAGGTCATTTTGGTAGCAAGTAACAGAAACTCAAAACAGCTGAAGCAGAAAGGGAGGGAAAGCCAGTTCCCGACGGTCCTGACTCCTCAGATTTACTTGCCCTTTGATTCTCTAACTTTCCTCCTTTCCTTTGTTTTTTTCCTTTAAAATATTGTGTTTTCTTAAAAAAAATTTTAATTGAGTTTTTTAGAGCGAGAGGAAGAGAGAGATAGTTAGGGAGGGGGAGAGAGAGAGAGAGAGAGAGAGAGAGAGAGAAACCTCCATGTGAGAGCAAAACACCTATCAGCTGCCTCCCACACACCTCCTACCAGGGATCCAGCCCGAAACCTGAGCATGTGCCTTGACCAGGAATTGAACCAGTAACCTTTCGGTGCACGTGAGGACGCTCAACCAACTGTGCCACACTGGCCAGAGATCCTCATTTCCTTTCAATAAACTCCCTTTCTGCTTAAGTTAGCCACAGGAGGTTTCTGTTGTTTGCCATCAAAGAATCTTGAGTGATACAAAGGGTCCTAGTGGGACCCCGGGGCAGGCATTGGAACTGGCTTTCTGAAGAAAAAAGATTAGGAACTAGAAAGTTATCAGGAATCAAGGCAACTTTCTCCATTGGTATCAGTTGGACTGCAGGCAGTTTCAAATAACAGAACACTGGACGTGGGTAGATTGTGAAAATCCGGAGCCCCTCCCAAACTGACTCTGGCCACTTGCTTTGTCTGATGGGATATGAACAAACACAAGGCGGGTAAGTGTTTATACTTTGGGGCTTGATCTCTCCTGCTGCTCTTGGGAACCTGTGCCACCACATATGAAAGAGCCTGGTCTAGCCCGGCCGGCGTGGCTCAGTGGTTGAGCATTGACCTATGAAACAGGAGGTCATGGGTTTGATTCCCGGTCAGGGCACATGCCCAGGTTTCGGGCTCGATCCCCAGGGAGGGGCATGCAGGAGGCAACTGATCAATAATCCTCTCTCATCATTGATGTTTCTATCTCTCTCTCCTTCTCCCTTCCTCTCTGAAATATATAAAAATATAATTAAAAAAGAAAGAAAGAAAGAAAGGAAGGAAGGAAGGAAGGAAGGAAGGAAGGAAGGAAGGAAGGAGAAAGAAAGGAAGGAAGGAAGGAAGGAAGGAGAAAGAAAGAAAGAGAAAGAAAGAAAGAAAGAAAGAGAGAAAGAAAGGGCCTGGTCTAGCCAGCTGCATCATGAGAGACCACCCCAAGCAGAGATAAACTGTCCCAGATGTAACCTCTCTAGATGGTGGTTTCTCATTCTCGCTACTGCTAATTTTGGGTCAAATTTGTCCTTGTTGTGGGGAACACTGGGCACTGTAGGATGTTCAGCACCCCCTCCCCAATTGTAAGAACAAAAATTGTGTCCAGAAATTCCCAGATGTCCCCTGGGGGGCAAAATCACTCCAGATTGAAGTGATTTAACCACTGGCCTAACCCAACTTGCCTGCCAGTGACCAGGCATGTAAATGAGGCTCTTCTAAACCAGTCCCAGCCAAGCCAGCTCAGCCCAGTACAAGTGCCCACCTTGGAGCATGGAATCATGAGAGATAATAAATCGTTTTATTTTCACTCACTACGTTTTGAGTGGTTTGTCCCACAAGTACACCCGACTACAGTGGCTTAAACAGGAAGAAATTTATTGTCTTCCACAACAGGAAGTACAGAGGTAGGCAGTTCAGGCATGGCGCAGAGCACAGGGATGCGGCCCCTGGCCCTTCTCATCTTTCCATTCCGTTGCCGTTGGAGGCTGGCTTTAGCCTCTTGCTTGCTGCCTCGTGATCCCCAAATGGCTGCTCCAGCTCCAAGTCTGAGCTCCAGGAGACAAAGAGGAGACAAGGAAAAGGGAAAAAGGGCAAAAACTTTTCTCCTAGCAAAGATGTGCCTTTTATTGCCAAAGAGAAATCCTCCCCAGGGGCCTTCACTTACATGTCATTGGTCAGAAGTGAACAACATGGCCAACTCTAGCTGCAAGGGAGGCTGGAAAATCAAGGGGACCAGCCTTCAGCTTATGCAGCAGAGGGAAGCGATAAGTATGGGACTGGTAGTATCTGCTACATTGTCTCTCTGGGGTCTTGGTTTCTTGTCTCTGCCATTGCATATCTACCCCAGCCTTCTCTCTCTGAAGGCTGGCTTTGTTCCTCCAAATACAAGGTAGGAAATGGTCATCCCAGCCCTGGGACTGCATCAGATTCTCAGCTCCAGGACCACTAATAACTTGTGTGACATCCCAGAGTCCCCTTCCAAACACTAAAAACAGAGGTGCTGATTGGCCCAGCTTGAATTAGAAGAGAAACCCGATTGGTCTGGCTTGACCAACCAGCTGTGGCCAAGAGAGCAGTATTAGGCAGGGCAAGCCTTTTTGCCGGCAGGGCGGGTGCATTCTCAGAGAAAAGGGGTGTGTGGCTGGGGAGACACCTAACAAGTTTGGAGGGAGAGGGAGAAAAGAAATTGCCATCATGAGTTATCATGTTCATAGGATAAAACTGAACACATCCTTAGAAAGACCTAAAATATATGGAGTCATATAGGCATTACATTTAACTTATGCAAATTCAAATATTCAACCAACAAGCATTTTTTTCCTAATACAATTTGGCTCCCAAACATGAGCCAGATGCTTGAACTACTGCCCACCCAAGTGGTCTCTTCAGATGCTGGAGAAAAACTTGCTGAATTGGACTTCTGGGATATGGTACAGTATAAATAATATGTTTTAAAAAAGTTCCAGAAATTTCAAGAGTGTTGTTAAGATCAGGTAATGCCTACCTTTCTCACTGACGTTAGAACCTAACCCTGGGTTAGGTGGACCTTTGGTGGAATATCACACCAAGAAAATCTATTTCCTTCTAGTTTTAATCAGTATAAAGCATGCATTTGGTTTTGAAATATCACATTATTTTTATTATGGCTTTTGAAAAATAAAAAATAAATGATACTCATAACTTCTGGCTCTTCCTCCCATTTTGTTTGGTGGTCCTGGCCATAAAGAGAGGCGGTAAGAGGATGGCTGGCTGGAGAGGGAGTAGAACGAGGGAGAAGTAGAGAGCAGAGCAAGAAAAATGGGGTTCTCTCCACACACCATGAAAAAGGGGTGTTGTCCGCCTGGCCAGTGTGCGCTCTTTGGTGACTGGGTACTTGGTCTGTCCTGAATTACGGGGCCACCTTGGTGTAGCAGGATGGGTAGTATGAAATGGAACTAGAAACCTGGATTCCAGACCCAACTCTTAAATTCTCTAGCTGTGTGATTTTAGACAGGCCACCTAACCTCTCTGGGCCTCAGCTTCCTCAGCTGTCAAATGGGGAACATAACACGACAGTATTTACCTCCCCGGGCTTGGGGGAGGATTAGATGAGAAGCGTTTTGAGAACTGCCGAGTGCCATATCAATGTTAGTCACTATCATGGCGGCGACAAAACTGATTGGCGTTCTGAATTTATTATAATAAACTCACAGCAGCCCTGCGGTTACCATCCTAGCCCGTGGCCCTGGTATCCGTCTTGGGTTTTCTTAACTGTGAGCTTCTTGGAGCTCCTTGGTGGTGGGACATTTGGGTGCGTCACGACTCAAACGTGGAACCAGATAATTGTATCTACTAGACCAGTGATGGCGAACCTTTTGAGCTCGGCGTGTCAGCATTTTGAAAAACCCTAACTTAACTCTGGTGCTGTGTCACATATAGAAATTTTTTGATATTTGCAACCATAGTAAAACAAAGACTTATATTTTTGATATTTATTTTATATATTTAAATGCCATTTAACAAAGAAAAATCAACCCAAAAAATGAGCTCGCGTGTCACCTCTGACACGCGTGTCATAGGTTCGCCATCACTGGCCTAGACCCATATGTCTGGGTTTCGAACTTATATTCTTCACATGCCTACGTATGTATACATTATTATTTTTAATAAAGAACGCCTCACCTCACACATTCCAAAATACAGTATTGTGCAGAAAAAAATAGAAAAACGAAAAGGAAGAAAAAAAAAAAGAAAGAAAAAAACAGAACAAAATACAGCATTGTGCAAAATACCAGTCTCGGAAGCAACACACGAGGGGAACACGCTTTAACGTCCTACAAAAGCATCTTAGTATTTTGACCCAGAAGAGTCACACCGACTCACAGAGGGTCTTGCAAGGCCGGCCGATGGCATTTCTAGTTCCTTCTGCCAGGCTTCAAGACCTGCAGACTCTGGCTGGGTTTGCTGGGGGACTCTCTCTTCAGCGTCTCTCTTTCTTGGTCTGTCTTTGGGGCGGCTTTTCTGGCTCCAGCCTTGAACCAACAAGAGACATAAATGCGCTAAATCTATAAGTGCAGTGAGATCCCCAAACATTCCACTCAAGTGTTTTTTGTTTTTGTTTTTTGTTTTTACTCAAAATAAATCTTTCCTTAAAAAAATACAGTATATATGCACATAGATGTGCGCAAAGGAAGCTAAAATGATCCGCCATTATCGCACCGCCCAAGGTGAGCATTCGGAAGGCTTGTGGTGTCCACCCTTCCAGGTGCACAGGTGACATTCTCCCTTTCAACATTCATGTTTCTCAAACCAGGAGCGTCTTAGGATGAACCCATTCACTGTGATGGAGTATCTTTCTCCGAAAAGCTTTCCCCGAACAGCACGTGTCTTAGGTCTCTGATGTCATCGGAGGGACAACGCCGGAGATTGGAGGGTCTGCTTAGCCCTTTTCCCAGCGCTGCCCGACTCCCGGAAGCCATGGTGTGGCCCTGGCCCTGGTCATGGTTGATTGGACACTTGGCACAGGCTGGGCTTTTAAGGTGACCACTCCCAGGATTTGGGGTTAATGGGCTCTGAGAGGTTACTCGCTCCCTGGGCTGGGCCTTTGAACTGGGGGACCTCGAGGTCATCCCTTCCTATCACATGATTGAAGAGAGATCGGCAGAGATACGGAAAGACAATGCAGAGCAGAGATGTGTGTGTGTGTGTGTGTGTGTGCGCGTGCGCACGAGCGGGCGCATAAGAGACACCATGCCAGACTCCCTTTCAGCTCTTCGTGGGTTTTTTTGGTGTTTTTTTACATTAAAAAAAATTGATTTCAGACAGGAAGGGAGAGGGAGAGATAGAAACATCAATGATGAAAGAGAATCATTGATTGGCTGCCTCCTGCATGCCCCCCACTGGGGATGGAGCCTGCAACCCGGGCATGTGCCCATGACCGGAATCGAACCCCGGACCCTTCAGTCCGAAGGCTGATACTCTATCCACTGAGCTAAACCAGCTAGGGCTCAGCTCTTCCATGTTTATGAGATGCTCACTCTGGTATCCTTATAAAAGCCCCTTCCCTCTGCCTGCATAGGCTTGTATTCATTGCAGCCCAAGATTCTCTCTCTGTGTTCTGCACCTACTATAGGTAGATTGCAACCTTTAAGCTGTACAACTGGTTTCAAATTCCAGCCCTACTCCCTACAGGCTTTGACTCTACAGTGAGGACACAATACCCCTGGGGGAAGAGGGCTGTGGGTGGTTGAATTTCAGCTTTGCCACTTACTACGGGACCCTCGGTTTTCTCATCTGTTAATCAGGGACCAGAATACCCGCCCTGTCTTCCTTGGCGACCGAGAGGGGTTCTGGGTAGATCTCAATGGAAGGGGCCATTGGGCCACCCCTTGAGCTCTTTTCACGTTCAAACAGGTCTGAGCATCCCTCCCAGAGGCCTGTGCCGTGGCTGGCAGAGCCCTGGGTGTGCTGTGCTGTGCGACTGCGCTCAATATCATCTCAGAATGAGAAGCGCTAACGTCTGCACCAGCCCACAAAGCTCCTTGGTCTGCGTGCCAGAGAAGAGGAAAACAGACAGCAGATGTTGAGAACTTTCCTCTGGAAACCACCTTTCCTTCACATCCTCTTTCATTTGATTTTCAATAAAAGTGCTGGCTGGGATGGTTCCCCAATGCCAGTGCCCTGACCCGGCGTGGGGCTGGCTGTCGGAATTAGAGCCAGGGAGTTTGTTACAAGTCAAGTGTCCCCAGTCCAGGGTCCCCTGCCCCGAGGTCTGCCAGGAGTTCGGGGGTTTGGTCCACTTTTCTGAGTGACAAGGGGAGGGGGGCAGCAGAAGGCAGCCGGGATGGGCGCCTGGGAAGAGGAAGAGATGGGGAATGAGAAATCTGAAAATGCAGATGAGGGCAGGAAGGGCAGGGGAGATGTGGCAGGGTCTTCCCTGAACCAGGGACCACAGGTGACCACCAGGCACTCAGCTGGGATGTCTGGAAGCGCCTGGCTCATCCTTAGACTGAAACGGCGTGGCTAGAAGCCGGTCACTGAAATAGCGACACCCAGGTGGACATTTTTTTCATCACATTACCAGGGGTCCTCAAACTCTTTAAACAGGGGGCCAGTTCACTGTCCTCAGACCGTTGGAGGGCCGGACTATAGTTTAAAAAAAAAAACTATGAACAAATTCCTATGTACACTGCACATATCTTATTTTGAAGTAAAAAAACAAAACGGGAACAAATACAATATTTGTATTTGCATATGGCCCGCGGGCCATAGTTTGAGGACCCCTGCATTAGACATTTTTTCTTAGTTGCTCCCACACCCATGTTAACATTACAGATAGCACTGTCTGTACGTCTGTGCTTTATACATTTCCTAAGAGGAATTTTGCCCTCTCGGGGGTGATACTGCTCCCACTGAGAATTCATGATTGAAACCCAGCACCTGGACAGTCCCTGCCCATCCTAGGCTCTCGGTGAATATTGCTGACTGAATGGGGGCCCGGGGAGTATCCTTTTGTTTACTTTTCCAGCCCCAGCGCCTGGCACAGCATGTGGCCCAGACTGGATATTCAATACACGTTTGTTCAGGAGAAGAGTTCCCTCATTAGCATACAACTGACAAGTAATTATAAAAGACTTTTAGCTGCGATGAGTATCAAATCAAACCAAGGAATGGCGTTTGGAGGACAGAACACAACACCCCCAGGACCTGGGAGAGGAAGCAGCTGCCAGATCTGAAGCTCGCTAGAGGCGGAGACTCCTTTGTGAGTGGGCGGGACTGAAGGATTGGATCCCACGCGTCCTTTCTCACGGGGGTCACGATGGCTCCAGGCCCACAGGGCTCAGGGCACACGTGGAGGAAGGACATCCCAAGCCACACTTTGCAAGGAACCTGGAGGAAACCCTTCTGTGCGGAGGAGGTTCTACTGAGCTTTACGTGAGGGCTGGAGGGCCGGGGAGCTCGGTCTGTGCTCTCAGCTGAAGCCCCGCCATCCCTCGCATCACCTACTCACATCCATCTGTATCATCTCCTCACATCACCTACTCACATCCACCGCATCACCTACTCACATCCACCGCATCACCTAACATCCACCGCATCACCTACTCACATCCACCGCATCATCTACTCACATCCACCGCATCACCTACTCACATCTACCGCATCACCTACTCACATCCATCTGTATCATCTCCTCACATCACCTACTCACATCCACCGCATCACCTACTCACATCCACCGCCTCACCTACTCACATCCTCTGCATCATCTACTCACATCCTCTGCATCACCGACCCACATTCTGTTAAGACCATAGGCGGCCTGAAATTCCAGGAGGCTTCACATCTCAGGGACGTACATCTTCCTACAACATCCAAGGTATCGGGCCCACCCAGTACCTCCTCTGTCATCTCACATCCCCAGTTGGTCCTCAGACAAAGCCTGGCTGTAGGGCGGTGTCTGCCTGCTCCTGGGCTTGACCACATGTGTAAGGACAAGGCTCTCACTTGTTCCCACTTTGCAGGGTGGCAAAGGGCTCGGATGTAGGGGGGCCCTCGGGATGCGCTTTGCCCTCCGAACATCCTGCTCTGGGGGGTACCCACCCTCTAGTCTTAGACCGTGGGGGTTGGTTGAGAAGAGACTTCTATTTCCCCAAAATGTCCCTTACCTAGGATCACCTTGTTTTTTCCCAGTGATAATTTTGTTGTCTCAGAATGATTGTGGCCTTTTATCAAACTCAAATATATCTCCTCTCTCCTTCCCAGTGAAAATGTGTCTGCTCTTGAGCTTCCTGAGAGCTTGCTTCTATTCTCTGCAAAGTGCGAGTGTGGGTTGGGTCAGTTCCAGTTCCGGGGCTGAACTGTGAACGGCAATGTTTCAGCAGGTTTAGGATTTCATAGTCTTGATTCTCAGCTCTTCAGAAAAGAGTATTCTAGAGGCTGCTTCCTTGGAATTCAAGAGAAATGCCAGCCGAAACGTTATTACCTGGACGTTTATTATCTCGGGGAAGGCACGCTGTGCTCACCTGGGTGAGGGAACTGCATTGAGTTCCAGCTCTCCTACTGAGCTGTGTGGCTCTGGACAAGTTACTTAAAGTCTCTGAGCCTTAGCCACCTCACCTGATGACTGGGGATAATAACGATACCCACTGCATTGGGTTGCTGTGAAGATTAAAGGCGACGATGCTCAGCTCTGTGCCTGGTAGACACTAAATGCTCAAACACATAACAGACGTGGGACCACTGACAACTGGGTTTCCTGCCAACCTCCTACTGCGTCCTCTCTTCTGCTTCTGGCTCACCTGCAAACCGGAGTTCTGCATCTTGTTCTTCACTGTCTCTACAAACACCCGTCTCTTTAACACAGAAAGAATAGGGACAACATTTAGCCTACGTTCTTCTTTGACTTTTGCATCGAAGAAAAATGGATTTTTCTCACCCTTCAGATGCTACCCATCTGGATGGAATGCTGGGCCTTCCTAGGGACGGGGGCGGGGGACAGTGGGGTCTGTGCAAGGGGACTTGGCTTTGGGGTCGGCGATGCCACACTGTCCCGCAGAGCCCCTTAGGGGTCTCTGTTCCCCACTCCAGGGGAACCTGAGGGGAGGAGGCTGGTCCACCGAGGCCCTGGGGGAGCCTGTATTCCTCTTGGAGGAACATTGCTTCAGCTGGAAGCAGGGCCTCCAGGCCCGTGGGTGAGGCTGTAGACCTGGTTCTACGGTGGGTTCCCCCAGGAATCCCAGGCCCCAAGCGCGATGACAGCCGAAGCAGCCAGTCTCTGCGGGGACAGCAAATCCGGAGCTCACCCTGGGGTTTGGTTACTGTTGCTGACCCTGGTCTCCCCAAGACCCCACATCTCAGGGACAGTTCACTGAAGAGCCAGCAGCCCCGAGAGAGCGCGAGCTGGGGCCTCCCTCACAGGTGGACACTCGGGAGGTGAACGTGCAGGGCCTTGGGGAAGGGCTGTTCTCACAGAGCCCTGAGGGCCAGGGAAGTAACAGAAGTGAAGCGAGCGGGTGGGGCTGTCAGCAACACCCCAAGCCCAGCATCTTTCTAAGGGGCCTGGGAGATGGAGGCTGTGGGCCTGTGGGCCTAGCGTCACCACATCTCCCGCGGTTCCCAGACAAGCCAAGAATCCAGAGTATTCCGTGAAAGTGCCATATTTTGAAATGTTACTTAAAAAAAAAAATCCTATGAGTCAAATGAGAACATCTGCGGGCTGCCGCCGCGCAGCATCCGCTTCAGAGCCTGCCCCGGGCGCCTACCGGGTGCTCAGTAAATCCTTGCACGCGGGTTGCCAGGTGAAACACGGGATGCCCAGTTCAGTCTGAATTTCAGAATGAAGCCAAAGAATGTTTTAGTGGATGTAGGTCCCGTGCAAGGTGTGAGACATACTTACACTAAGTAACTGTGTGTCGTGTATCTGAAATTCAGGCTTAACTGGGCATCCTGTTTTGTTTTGTCCCCTTTTAATTCTGGCAACCCTACTGGGCATTCGCAAAACTCACAGAGAAAGGAGGCCGGCCTTTGGGACGGGCACGGCTGCTCTAAGTCTCTACCCTCCTCATGGAAGGTGCTAACTCAGTGGTTCTCAACCTTCCTGATGCCACGACCCTTTAATACAGTTCCTCATGTTGTGGTGACCCCCAACCATAAAATTATTTTTGTTGCTACTTTATAACTGTAATTTTGCTACTGTTATGAATCGTCATGTAAATATCTGATATGCAGGATGTATTTTCATTGTTACAAATTGAACATAATTAAAGCATAGTGATTAATCACAACAACAATATGTAATTATATATGTGTTTTCCGATGGTCTTAGGCGACCCCTGTGAAAGGGTCGTTCGACCCCCAAAGGGGTCGCGACCCACAGGTTGAGAACCGCTGTGCTAACTTGTCTCAGAGCGCGGGTCTCTGCAGGCTTAGGCCTGTGTTTAACCAGCAGGTGCCCTCCAGGCCTTTTCTGTGGAGAAGGCCTTGAGCCTGCAGCTACTCAGTATTTATCACAAACCTAGTTGAGAGGAACTATGCTCATAAGACAGTCACATTCCCAGATATTATAAAGCAGTGCTTTTAAACCAACATCTCCCCCCCCCCCTTTTTTTTGTAGGAGAACCCTTTATCCAAGCAAAATCCCTGGAAGAACTTGGCATATGAAAGAGGCAATGGAGAGCTTCTCTAGTGGAAGTGAGGTGTGTGTGTGTGTGTGTCCGCACGCGCGAGTGTGTATATTGAGTCATTCTCTTCCATGGCACCCATGGGCCCCGGGGAAACCCAGTTTGAACATTGCTCCAAAATATCTCTCTGGCTTAGGTCCCATCAGTGGACAGCTGAGCGCGGAAGGGCAGAGCCTGGCCCCCGCACACCCGCGTTTCCTGGACTCACTGGGATGTGTGATGACATCAGTCTGCCTCAAAAGCTATTCTCAGACGTGGCCCGGCCAACCTCGCATTGCTATTCTTGGGATGCTGTTCATTATATCACAGTGTCCTCGCCAGGGAAGAGCCAGCATCGCCTTTGTTCTGAGAACGCTTCTGAGCATCACATCCTGCTTGTCTCATGGACACCGTGAGTCTGGACCACGCTGGGCTCCCCACTTCCCAATGGCAGCAGAGAGCCCACAGGAAGGCAAACGAGGCTCCCCTGTGGTAGGGAGGAGGTGGCTACAATTGGCACCTTCATCCTCATTCCTGGCTCCATTTTGTACCCGCTTTTTCCTTTCTTTTACCCACTTGTTTCATTCTTGGGGCAGGGGTTCCTGGGGCTCCCCACTCCTCTCTTCTTCTTTTACGATCTTGTCTCCAAGTCCCCAGATCATGTAGAGCCTAGGATGGTTGCCCCATCAGCCAAAACTACACTTGGATTTCCCCTCTGCCCTCTCTCGCCTCCGGATACTGGGTTAGAGGCTTGTCTCTTAGGTCATTTGTTCAGATTGCAGGCAGTGGAGGGACAGGAGAGGGACAAGGGGGGAGGGGGCAGGGGCTGGCTGGGGAAGGGGAAGGAGGGAGGTGTGTGGCTGTTCCCCAGGCAGCACACCCTGGCACTGACGCTCCATAAGCTCCCACTCTGTGTCCGGTGGCAAGGTCAGAAACCCTCTCCATACCTGCCTCTCTTTCTCTTTGAAGGCACAGTTGCAAGATGCTGATTCTTTTGCATTTCTCTGTTCGTGGTCCTCTGAATGTTCCTGAGGGAAATCATCAGTGAGCAAGACAGTGTTTAGTGTGTCCTGGCCTGTCCCGCTCTGGGACACACCTCTGAGGCTTCTGGGAGACGTGAGGATTCGAGTTGGTGGGAAAAAGATGGGGGGGGGGGAGGGTGTGGGGGAGGTCTTTTTCTTCGGCCATCTTCTATCCCTATCCTGGACCATCCTAACTACATTTTTACTTTTTCATCCTTGTGTGGGCCAGAGGGTACCACCTTCCGCCCCCTACCCCATCCCATTCACATCCTACACGACATCTGCCAATTTCTACTCCGTGGTCACACACACACACAAGTGGTGCTGAGGGAACCAGGGTCTTGAGGATACCTGGGCCCAAGAAAATCTGGGAAAATAGTGAGTTGAAAGAACAGTGATGATAATGACGATGGTATAAGAGCATCTGTTGAGTGGTCCTAAGGGTTTTGTATACATGTTCTCATGGAATTGAATGCTATGTGGTCGGTGCCATTCTTATTCTCATCTTAAAGATGAGGGATCTGAGCTAATTAAACAGAGGAGAGGTGGTTCCTGAGACCACCTGGCAACGCTGTGGCCACGCCCCTTGGCCGGGGTTCCATTGGCTGGAAATATGACTGGCAGGCGAGCGGGGCCTGCTTCCCCTGTCAGAAGCAGCCAGTGCACTTCAGCCTTTCTCACACTTGGGGCCCTGAGAGAGGGCGAAGGAAGGGCTTGCGTGCTTCTCAAACGGCCACTTCTGTGCGTTGACACATTTCCTATTGAAAATCCCAGCCTTAACCTCTTCACAACAAGCATCTGGGCCTTTTCTGGGCTGGAGCCCTCGCTGTGTTCACCAAGTAGAAAGAGGCGACAAAGGAGCCGCGGGCTCTGGGAGCACAGGGAACGGAAAGTGGCTGTGGGTCTGCTGCGCCTGACAGCGGGCAGGACGCTCCCTGGAAACCAGAGTTAGTTGCCTTTCTCTCCCTGGTGGTAACCGAGCTTGCTGTGTGCCGGGCACTGCGGGCATCGTATCACTGTACCTCCCAGAGCCCCATGAATAGATCCCATCGCTACCATTTCTGGTGGTTTTTGCTGAGGACCCTGAGATACAGAGGTTCAGCCGCTGACTCAGGGTCCCTGGGGCGGAGGTGGGGCTTGAACCCTGTTTGTTAGACTCTGAAGTCCTCCTGCGTGAACTCTGACAGGCACTGCCGTCTGCTCTAGTGACGTGGGGAGTGGACTGGACTCAGCACAGCCTGGGCCACTGTCCCTGCCTCTCTGTCACGTGGACAGAGCTGCGGACCCAGGACATTCCAGAGGCACCTGGAGGCGGTGACCACAGGGTTCTCTGGGGATGCCCAGCGCTGAGGATTTCTCTGCGTTTTATATCAAGCCTCGTTTTCACAGACACAGGTATTAATTAGTATGGAAGCATGCCTTTTGATTCTGGAAAGTTCCGTTTGGCGAAGAGATGTTCAAACATTAAAACTACAAACTACATTTTCTGGGGGGAGGGGGAGGGGGCTTCTGAAGCTCCAGGTGAGTAATTTCATTCCCCAGGGCTCCACCCAGGCCGTTTCTGTGAACGGGTGAAACCGTATGCTGGAGACTGAAAAAAAAAAAATAAGGCTCTTTGTGGAAATATTAGGTGTAAAACTTAAAAAACAAAAAGGAATTCCTTTTCCCTTTAACTTCGCTTTTAAAAAAGAATATATACTCCTTGGAAGGAACTGACGAGAGACAGATGAATACAAGTTCCCTTCAGAATCCAGCAAAACTTTAAAAAGTTATCATTTTTTCCCTGACAAACAGGTATTTCTGACAACATATCAATAGCCAACCTCAAGTGCAAACCCAAGCCCCGGTACGAAAACCAGAGTAGGGGTGAGTGGAGGCTGAGGGGGCGGGGGATGCCCTGGCGAGGGGGATGGCGAGGAATGGGCGTGGAAAAGTGAGCCCGGGCTGGGGAGCGCAGCAGGTGCCTGTGGGGATCCTGCTTCTGCGCTGGGCAGCCGGCGACATTACCCTCTGCCAGCCTCAGTGTTCCCCTCTCTCAGATGGGCTGGCCCTCCCCAGCATTCCTCGCAGGGCTGATGGGACAGAGTAAGCATGTGTTGTGTGGAGCAGGTGCCTGCCACTTGGTAAGCGCTCGATAAATAATGCCAACAGCGTTGCCATGCTTATGGCTCCGGTTCATACAAATCTGCCCCTCAGTTGTGAATTCCATATGTTTGAAAGTTCCCAGTTCTAGCTCTTCTGGGGTCCCCATCACAGGTTCAACTTGGCCATCTCAGACCCTCTCCACTGAAGGATGTCCAGTGCCTGCATTGTGTATGAAGAGGCAGCTCATGAATAATGCATGTGAAGCTTGATTATGTAAATCCTCGGGTTTTCTTACATTTTTAGCCAGCACATGACAATGGCCTTTTTTTGGGCCCTTTGCTGTCCCATTCTGTGGTCTGGTGCTTTAGGACGGAGCCTGCCAAGCCCTGGGGGGAGGGACACCCCGGGAGGGGTTAGCTCTCCAGAGGGCACATCAAAGGCAGAGCCAGAGCTCTGCCAGGCCCAGCTCTCCCTGCAGCCCAGCTCTCCCTGCGGCCCAGCACTCCCTGGCATTGCTCGGTGTGAAAGGAAGCTGTCCTGCGCCTGAGGCTGCGCTGTGACACATGCAGACGGCCGGCTGTGATGTTTAATTTAACTCAGAGCGGCAGATGCCACATCTGGTGCTCCCTCAAAGCCGCTTTCATTTCTGGGGCTGCAGCCAGGGAGCCTGCAGTCTGGAAGGTGTGCAGGACGGAGGACAGGCTTCTGCAGGGATCTCATCTGAGTCAGCTCTTCACCTGTCTGCTCGGCACTAAAGGACACGCTCTTCAAGGTCATCCATCCATCCCCATCCACCTGTCCATCCATCATCCACCTACCTCTCCATCCATCATCCATCCATCATCCATCCCGCCCTCCCCATCCGCTTGCCCATCCATCATCTATCCACCTCTCCATCCATCCACCTCTCCATCCATCCATCCATCCATCCCCCTCTCCATCCATCATCCATCCATCATCCATCCCGCCCTCCCCATCCGCTTGCCCATCCATCATCTATCCACCTCTCCATCCATCCACCTCTCCATCCATCCATCCATCCATCCCCCTCTCCATCCATCATCCATCCATCATCCATCCCGCCCTCCCCATCCGCTTGCCCATCCATCATCTATCCACCTCTCCATCCATCCACCTCTCCATCCATCCATCCATCCATCCCCCTCTCCATCCATCATCCATCCATCATCCATCCCGCCCTCCCCATCCGCTTGCCCATCCATCATCTATCCACCTCTCCATCCATCCACCTCTCCATCCATCCATCTATCCATCCATCCATCATCCATCTATCCTTCCATCCATCCATCCACCTGTCCACCCATCATCCATCCACCTCTCCATCCATCATCCATCTATCTATCCATCCATCCATCCATCCACCAAATATTGGGTGTCTCCTATGTTATGGGCAATCAGAATAGTGAAACCAAATCTTGATTCTCAGAGAGTTTAATCATCTATTTATCCCCAGGATGTGGCAGAACAATAAAAATGCAAATAACAGCCACTATGAAAACATACACACAGATGCACTTGAGGGAAGTTAAGAAACCGGCCCGAGCCCTGACCGGTTTGGCTCAGCCTGCAGACTGAAGGGTCCCAGGTTCGATTCCGGTCAAGGGCATGTACCTTGGTTGCGGGCACATCCCCAGAAGGGGGTGTGCAGGAAGCAGCTGATGGTGTTTCTAACTCTCTATCCCTCTCTGTAAAAAAAAATCAATAAAATATATTAAAAAAAAGAAAAGAAACCGGCCCGAGATCACACAGTGAGTGGCAGATCTCGGGTCTAAACCTAGGTCTGTCTGACGCTAACGCTATTCTGCCACCTTCCTCCGTCCGGGGCGGCGGGGCAGCCTCGGAGCTTCAGCTCCCAGCGGGGCCTCTCACCTGCTGCGGCCTCCTGGCCCGGTTGACCCTCTTCTCTTGGCGCAGCTGCTGCTCCGTGCGCTCCAGGGCCTCCTTCAGCAGCGCCTTCTCCTCGACCCCCTTGTAGATGTCGTCCTCCAGCTTCGCCACCTGTGACTGGTACATCTGAATGGACACTTTGCTCTGCCTGAGCGTACGGGAGAGACAAAGCCTCTTTTCCCCTCATCCTTCTCAGCCACCGCCAATGTCCCCGACCCGGGGGCTTCTCCAAATACTCCCAGACCCCGCTGTCCTCGTGTGTTCATTACACGCAGGAGAGAATGACAAAGCTTTGGGGGAGTAGAGAGCAGGATAAATAGTGAATCGGCTGAGTCAGTGAAGCATGAGGGGGCAGAGGGTGTGTTAGCGGCCCCTCCCAATTTCCCGGGGTGGGGGGAGACCTGCGGCCCCTGAAAATGTGATGGAGCTGTGGCAAGTCCACAAATGCTGGAAGGTGAGACTCAGTCACAGCAGGTGCAGCTCACTCATTAAGAGAGAGCAGAGAGCGGAGAGCCCTGCGCACTCCGGTGGCCGCTGTGTCACCGAGAGACTTGTCACTTCCAGGCTCTAGTCACCCATCGTCCTGCCCCCTCAGAGCCCCTCAGATTTTAGTTGTTCCACACCCAGGTCGGTGCCCTGCCCTGAGGCTGAGCCGGGGGCATGGAGGCCTGGGCCTCCGCGGGGACACGCGGTACCTGAGCTGGTCCATGTCCTGCTCGTATCCTCTCAGAAGCTCCTCCTTCCTCTCCAGTCGGCTCTTGAGCTGGGTGATCTTATCGAACACCAGGTCGAGATCCCTTTGCCGCAGCTGGTTGACTCGCTCCCTCTCTTGGGGGGAGAGGTGTTTCATGGACACGTGACCTGCCATGTCCTTGATGTTCATCAGGCTCCCCAGCGTCTTGCTCATGTCCAGGTACTGCAAGGAAGGCGGCGCGCGGGTAAGGGGCCTGGCCGGGGCCGCTGCTGGCCGCGCTGAGGCGGCGAACGCCTAGTTCTCATTCACCCGTTGGCAATCGCAGGGAGCAAACCCACGTTTTGGAAATGAGTGCAATTAGGGTGTTGAGGACAATTTTCATTTTCTCCACATGCATTTACAGTCTGCCTTTTTGAGAACTGGGGGAAAGTGACAACAGTTATAAACATTCCCCTGGGGTCGTGGGCGGGCCTTGCGGAGCCATTATAACCACCAGCTGTGCACGCAGGGCGGGTGTTTACACTACCCCGTGGTTCACACGGACTGCAGGGGACCCGGGGTCCGACAGGAGGCTGTCTGGCTGTACATACCAGCTTTTCACTGAGATCCAAAGCCTCGGACACGTCCATTTTCTCCGGCTTCTCGGTGGCCAGGTTGGCAAAGCCATTTTGAGACTGAAATAAAAAAAAAGAGTTAAAAACTCGTGGCGTCCCGTGATGGATGCCTGCATCCGGAAGTTGAAGCGCTGTGCGTTGCCAAAGAAAAACTCGGCAGAGTTGATTTTGATTTTAGTCCCCGACCTTCTAGTCTGATTCCTTTGCCAACTGCTTTCTGGTAACTGTGTCCCCATCCTTCAGAGCGCAATTCCCTTTGAAACGATACGTCGCTTGTCTTGTTCTCTGGTCACTGTCTTCCATCTAGACCAGCGGTTCGCAGCCTGGGGTGATTCTGCCCACCCTTGTCCCCCCTCCCCCAGACATTTAGCCATGTCTGGGCACCTTGTTGGTTGTTAAACCTCGGGGAGGCGGATGCTGCTGGCATCAGAGGGTAGAGGGCAGGGATGATGCTACACACCCCACAGCACATAGGGCGGCCCACGACAAAGGATCACCTGGCCCGCCAGGCTGGTGTGGCTCAGTGGCTGAGCATCGACCTATGAACCAGGAGCTCAATAGTTCAACTCCAGTCAGGGCACATGCCTGGGTTGCAGGCTCGGTCCCCAGTGGGGGGCGTGCAGGAGGCAGCCAATCAATGATTCTCTCTCATCATTGATGTTTCTATCTCTCTCTCCCTCTCCCTTCCTCTCTAAAATCAATAAAAAATATTTTAAAAGAAAAGAAAAAGAAAAAGAATTACCTGGCCCAAATACCGGTAGCAATGATGTGGAGAAAGCCTGGTCTAGATGCCCAGCCCCCAGGAAGCGGGAACGGTGCTGTTTTCGCTCACGCTCCCATTTCCTGGGCTGCCATGGCCCCTGGCAGAGTGGCACTCCGTGAGTGTGCTTGTCGAATGAATGAGCGAAGGTTAAATAGAGAACAGCCCTCCTCCTTTTACTAAAGGAACCTGATTTTTATGCAGCGGAAGCTACACCCTCACAATATTTGGCCCAGCCCTCTCCTGGTGCTGGGGCCTGGTGGGCGAGGGCCCTTCGGACCCTTCCCAGGGACTGCGTGGGATGGTGCTCAGAGCTGTGCACTCACTAAGACCTAGTCAGCCAGCTGGCTGCTGGAAGGCCCTACCAACTGCGTGGAAAAGCCACCAGCCCGATCAGGGAAGGACCACAAAGGGCCAATACATCTCCTTCAAAAGCTAAACTGGGTGTTCAGTGCTTGCCACGTAGCATCTCTTAGCCCATAGCCTTTGCTGGCGCTATACTGCAAGCCTCTGAGATTAAAAAACAACACCCCCCCCCCAAAATATAAAAGCATAGAGGCCCCCAAAGTGCTGCGACAGAGAAGAGTGGAGACATTGATTTATATATTTATTGAGAGGAGAATAAAATAGAGTGTTTGAAGATGACATTAAGCCGGGCAGGTCTGCTGCAAAAAGAACCTGAAATGCCGCTCAGGGTCCTCACCTCCCTGAGCTGCGGCCTCGGCACCCCTCTACAGACCCCCCTCTTCTCCTGAGGGAGGGTCACCTAAGGAAGAGCCTGGGCTCCAGGGTGCAGGCACACAGTCCCCGCCCCCTTCTCTGCAGTCTAGCAGGGTGCCAGAGGCAGACTGCCAGGGACACTCAGCCCTGGCTGCATCATCCATCACTCTGTGACCTTGGGTGAGGGAGGTACTTGACCTCCAGAAGCCTTGAGGTTTCTTATCTGTAAGCCAGGGATGATAACAGTCACTAGACGCAGGCTGCTGTGAGGATTAAATGAGGTAATGTGTGTAGAGGGCTTCGCCCAATGCCTGGCGCAAGTCAGCGCGTAACAGATGTCAGCTGTTCCTCCTCCTGCTGCTTCTTGTCCTCGTCCTCTGACTTTAATTACTGCCGACCTTGAAGGGCCGAGGTCTTCTAAGAGAGTTGGGAGGTTTCGTGCTCTGTGGTGTCAGGGGTGGGATCAGCGGTCAGAATATGAGATCCGGCTGAGCTCCCCACCTCGGAGAATGAAAGTGTGATCTTACCAAGCAAACCAACAGAGTCTTGAAGACTCGCATCTCTAGCAGATGTCTAGAAAAACTGTTGGGGAGAATGCTAGTACAGATAGGATGACTATTGTTTCTCCTAAAAGCCTGAGTATGGTTTAGAATTCAGTGGTTCTCAACCTTCCTAATGCCGAGACCCTTTAATACAGTTCCTCATGTTGTGGTGACCCCCAACCATAAAATTATTTTTGTTGCTACTTTATAACTGTAATGTTGCTACTGTTATGAATCGTAATGTAAATATCTGATATGCAGGATGTATTTAGGCGACCCCTGTGAAAAGGTCGTTCGACCCCCAAAGGGGTCTCGACCCACAGGTTGAGAACCGCTGGTTTAGATCCAACGGTGGCAGCAAGCCCCGCCCAGTGGCTCCTGTGACTGACCCTGACCTGAGCTGTCCATCCTTATGTGTCAATCAAATACCCATTTAGGGTACAGGGCACTTTCAACTTGACAACAGAATTACTTCTGAAAATCCTGTCAAATAAAACTATGCCCCCTAAGAGAGGAAGCCTTTCTTGTATAATACTGTTTAAATCCTAGTGAGTAATAATAGCAGCCATCATTGGTTAAGTGTTCACTGTGAGCTAAGTGGTGGGATAAGCCCTTTACACAATTACCTCCTTTCATTTTCTTTTCATCATCACTTTGCAACTGGGCTGTGGAGGCCCCGTAAGGTTACCAGCCTCACCTAAGGTCACACAGCGTTCAGAACCAGGATTCGAGCACAGTCTCTCCTACTCCAGAATGGCGTCCTCGTAATCACGGCTCCCTCTGCTACCCTTTATGTGTTCATGTTTTTCAGTTTACAGCAAAAAGCAAACTTCAGGCCAACTCATGGCATCACGCCACAAATTAGCCCGTTGAATGTTTTCTGCAGAATATAACATGCGATGTGAAAAGCAGGGTCCACCAGAGGCTGACCTGGCCCCGGGTCAATGCAGAGATGCATCACGCAGTGCACAAAGGGAGGCCATCTTTCTATTCTAACACGGGGCTGCTGGGACGCTAGGCACTGACCAGTGGGTATAGACCAGCGGTTCTCAACCTGTGGGTCGCGACCCCTTTGGGGGTCGAACGAGCCTTTCACAGGGGTCGCCTAAGACCATCGGAAAACACATATATAATTACATATTGTTTTTGTGATTAATCACTATGCTTTAATTATGTTCAATGTGTAATAATGAAAATACATCCTGCATATCAGATAATTACATTACAATTCATAACAGTAGCAAAATGACAGTTATGAAGTAGCAATGAAAATAATTTTATGGTTGGGAGTCACCACAACATGAGGAACTGTATTAAAGGGTCGCGGCATTCGGAAGGTTGAGAACCACTGGTATAGACAATGGCCCATCTGGAGGGGCCTGGCCCCGAACCACCAATATGCACGGCCGTGCCAGGACACACAGCCAGTGTCTGCCCTCGTGCCCACCCTCTCCACGTTGTCCGTCAGGCATGCAGAGACAAACTGGATTTGGTTACCGCTTGGATCTCTATTCTTGAGAGAGCTGGCCAATCGGGGTTTGCGTCCAACATTTTCTGGACATTTTTTTCCATCCTGAGAGTCTTTAAGTCTTGAAATGATTTATTCTGGTGGACCTTATCGTCTAGAAAAGAAATGGTTTCGATTCAGAGGAAAGGCTCAGTGGTTGCATGTAATACCCACAGCTACTCTTTACTGGTCTTGTCCAAGGGCACACAGCTAATGGGAGGCTGCCTCACGGGAACAGGATGAAACTTGAACCCAGGCTTCTGGGTCCTAGCCCAGTGCTCCACCCAGCAGCCACCCCAGCACCCGGAGAGCCCCATCCCCTCTAGGCAGGGAATTCTGGGAGGTTCCCCAAGGTTGGTCCTTGTACCGTGTTGGTCCATGAGAAAGTTTCCACCAGGCCACAGTGAAAAAAGAAAAAGAAGGACAATGTATGGGTTTCATGAAACCCTACTTCTTTAATATCAAGTTCTGCCCTTGACTCGGAGATCATGTCTGCCCATCTTGCTTTTTTGTATTACAACATCCTTTTGGTTATGAAATGACAGGGCTAGAAGACGGTGGTCCTGGCAAATTGATCAGTTCCCAAAGTGAACCCACCTGGAGGTTGTTCCTCTGCTCCCAACCTCTGAGAACGTTGGATCTTATCAAGAAAGTCCCCCCG